AGCTAAGTTGGTGAATAGGGAGATTAAATAGATTCTAGAAAAGACGGTAAATCCCGACCGTAAGGATTGGCCTTCACGTCTTCTTGACGCTCTTTGGGCATACTGTACTGCTTATAAGTCCCCTCTTGGGATGTCTCCCTATAGGCTTGTCTTTGGAAAAGCCTGTCATTTACCTGTAGAGCTCGAACATAAGGCTTATTGGGCTATCAAAGCCTTTGACTTCGATATTAGTTCTGCAGGTGTTAATCGCAAGGTCCAACTATCAAAAATTGAGGAGCTGAGAAATGATGCTTACGAAAATTTCAAGATCTACAAGGCAAAGATGAAAGCGGCACATGATAAACAGATCCTGCGAAAGAACTTTGAGCCGAATCAGAAGGTGCATCTCTATGACTCCCGTTTGCATCAACACCCAGGTAAGTTGAGGTCGCGGTGGACTGGTCCATTTGTGGTGAAACAAGTTTTTCCCAACGGTGCTGTCGAAGTCGATGACCCGAGCGATGGGAGAGTATTTTGAGTCAATGGGCAGAGACTGAAGCATTACATTGAGTGTGTAAGCCAGGCTGAAGAGATCATTCTCGAGGCTCCAGTTTACCAACCTTGAGGAGTTTGCTTCCAACACTTTTGTATCATATTTTTGTTTCTTTGTTTCGTTTGGTATGGTTTGTGTGCTTTTATTTTTAGTTTGTTTTTGTGTGCTTTTATATTTGTTTGTGTGTTTTGGCGATTTAGTTCAAGAGGCTCAGCTGTGTTTCAATGTTCATCATCCAGGTGTTCTCTTTCCCTGTCTCCTTCATATTGCATTTATTTTTAGACATTAAGGACACTGTCTGATTTTAGGTTGGGGGTGATGAGCATATTCATGCGTGAGATTAATTTTTGTCTTGTTGTTATTTTGGGTCAAAAATTTTTGCGAGATTATCTAGGTATGATTTCAAAATGTTTGGTTTGAGTCAGTTTTTGCTATCTTAATTACCAAGAAATAATTTTCAGAGTTATTTTTTAGCACATGCCAAACCTTTGTGGTAAGATGGTTGTTAACACATTTAGTTGAGAAAAATTCCCGAGTTTAAGGTTTTCATTTTTGGTGAGTTGTGAGAGTTAAGAAAACAGCTTTTTGAACTTTCATATATCTTTTGAGTTGGTTAAATCATTAATGGAGCACCATTGCTTGACTTGCGACATTTGCTTTAAGGATGATTTTTGGTTAGAAATAATCTTTAGAATTGAGCCATGTGTTGTAAATATTAATCATTTTTCTTTTGTATTTTCTTCTATAAAAAAAAGAGAAAAAACAAGTGAGTAAGAGCATCATTTTATCATCAATGTTTACGTAGTTTGGTTGCACTCACATCTTGCACTGCATAACAGCCAGTCAAAAGAATGCCTTACTACATCAGCTCCATCAAATGTATGTTGTCCCTCGCCTTAAGAAAAACAAAAAAAAAACAAACAAAAAAACAAAAAGAAAAAGAAAAAAAAAGTGTGTATATTTGTTTGTATTTCTCGGCTCCTTCTTTGTTTAAGAGATTTTCTTTGACCATAATGAAATCCCAAAAGCTTTTTTATGGTTGGAGTGATGGATTGTTCCAAATTTTTTATTTGCCTATCATTTGATCAATGATTGTTTATTAACTGTCCTTAATTTGCCTTCTCTCACTTGAGCGTTGACTAATTGACTTCCAACTCTATGAGTGAAAATCTTTTGCGTTAAAATATTTCCGACACCTGTGAGGTAAATGGAGTTGAGACTTTTTCTTGATGAATCTTTCGATGCTATTTGTGTTATGGACTGTGGAACGAGGGATATGGTTTGGTGCACATACACACGACTCTGAAGTTATAATTGAAGTAGTTTTGATAGCATTTTCTAATCATTTACTAATGTTTTGTTTGATTGCTTAGGTGATTTTGCTTGTTTTGATTTGAATTTTTGACTTGATATGATTTTTCTTTCGCTGGAATTGCTAAGGACTAGCAATAAGCTGGTTGGAGGTTGTGATAAGTGCATAAAAATGCACTCAAATTGTTTATAATTGCTAAATAAATTAGGTTTTAATTAAATATTTTCGTAGAATTAATTTTATGCGTAAGTATTTAATTTTAATTTAATTTATTTTGTTTTGTAGGAAAATAAGGTATTTGGGCCAAACTTAAAGGAGAAGCCCATCTGAAGCCCATCAACCAGCCTAGCCCTCAGTCAACCGCCGCCAAGCCAAGCTGAGCCGAGCTGCGCCACTCCTCTAAGTCGAGCCATGTGGCGTCTTTTGTCACCGTCCCCCACATTTTCCCATCACTTTCGCGCGCGTTTCATGCACGCCAGGCCCCAGATCGCAAGTTCTCTCCACGTTTGCGTAAGCCCAGCTCTCTCTCTTCTTCTGTGTGGGACCCAGTTGTTCCCTCACGCACGCGCGCTTAGCGCGCACGGTTCCTTCCCCCGGGTGAGTTTCATCCACGCGCGCGTCATGCTATTTTGCATTTCTCTCCGCGTGGGTCCTGTCGTTCAACCGTTCTCTAATCAGCTCCCGCCACGTGTTCCTCGTGGGACCCAGCTGTCAGCAATTTCCTCTGTTCGCCTATCAGCTTGCGCTACGTGTCCCGAGCACAGTAACGTTTCTTTCTCCTCAACGCGCCACGTGTACTAGCTATTGCACTCCTCAGTTTTTCCAGTTTCAAATGTTTATGATGGTTCTTTCTCCACCATCATCAACCTTTACTCCCAAAATAAAGCCTTGCAAATCCAATTTAATTTGATAAAACGTTTTCTTTCTTTATCTTTTATTTCTTTGCTGAATGCTTTTTGACATGAACCAAAAACTCTATAAATAGGGCCTTTGTTAAGTGTATTAGGTTGTTGAATTTTAGCCTAAGTTTCTACACTTTTTCTCTCATTGTCTTGTTCTTATTCTCATATTTTCTTTTTAGAATTTTGTGGGAATTATGTGCAAGCTAGGCTAGAGTATTTGGGTGAGGCTAGAGATGATCCTATATGTGTAGTGAGGTTGTTTGGATTTTGATTCTCTAATGGTTTGTAAGTTTTATACATTTGAGTAAATAATTTTCTTTTATCATATTTCTTCCTCTTATCAATATATTTTATTGTCAACATTTATATAAATCTAGTCAAGCTCTTTTTTATGTGATTGTTGCATGATACTATATATTGATAGACATTATTCTATGAGTAGTCTTTTACTACAATATCACCCCGAGGTATATTGTCATTTTTAGATTTCTCTTAAGATAATTTTTTCTAGTTCTAAACGTAAGAATTTTATTTACTCGAATACATTTTAATTCACATATTCTTCAATTATTTATTTTCCAATTGATTGTTTGGGATGTGAAACTTTCAATTGAGTCAATTCATGAATCAAAATCTAAATAGGTGAACAAAGTATATAGAGGATTCCCAATGTCTTACCACTTTTAATTATTGAATTTTCTCCATTTTAAATTGTTTAAAAAATCATTAAAACACTCATTTCTCTTCTTTGTTCGATTGCTTACTTTCTTAACGCTTTTTAGTTGCTAATCGTTTCTTGTTCAATTTATCGTCTCCTCGTGGGATCGACCGTCTTAATTGTGCTACAATTGACCGCCTGTTTTTGTACACATTTGGGCATAACAGGAGAAGTTCGCGGTCTTTTTTCCCTGGTGCGTTCTCCAACTTTCTCGTTGCGCACTGAAGCATTATCAACCGGAGCATTTCCTGGTTTAGTGGGGGTGGGTTTGGGAGGCATCATTTCATCCTCGAAAAATGACTCATCACCAAGCTCAGGAAGAGCAGTGAAATCAGGGAAGTTTAATGCGGGCATTTTCTGAAAATTGATTGAACTTAAACTTTATAAATGAAAGAGCAAGAAAATAAGTGATTGCGAGAAAAAAACTTAGAATCAAAATCAAAGAGACAAGATGAGAGATAGAATGAGAGTGAGATGAGAAGTTGAGAGTGAATTGTTGTGTGGGATTTAGGGTGGAATTAAGGGATATTATAGGGGATTTTGGGGGGTTTTTTGGATTGTGACCGTTGGGCCCGCGAAGGGCCCAACGGTCACAATCCTCGCGGGCTGGGGGATGTTTTCACGGGCCTGGGCCGGGCCGAACAAGGGCCGAATCCGGACTTGGGCCGAACTGGGCTTGGTTCAGGCCGCGGATCTTCACGGGCTTGGGCCGCAGGCAGAGAAGCCGAGGCCCAACTCTAGCCCATCAAACGTGCTGGGCCGGTACGGCCCGTAATAGTACCGTAACGGGCCGTGCCCAATCCAGCATTGTTATGGCTAGGCATGGACAGCCCGGCCCATTTGGTACCACTATGAACGGGGTGCTCATTTGTTGGGCACAACGGTATTGTCTGTTATATTAGTACCACTATCTATATCTTACTGTTCAATGTGCAATGAGTTGTACAAAATATTACGGGATGCTAAATAAGTGATGCATGACGGAGACGTTTGGTTTATGGATTAAAATTATTTTCGATTTACGTGTATTTTTTGTGAGAAAAAATACTGTAGCGAATCATGAACCATGCTATGTACCCTCAATTTCAGAAACTTCTCAAAATTGCCACTGGCCCCGATTTTGTGTCGTGACAGAGAGAACCAAGCTTAATTAGATTAGATAATAAATTAGTCCAATTACATATCATCCGTTGACTTTATATTTGTGTACACATTAAATTTGCCTCTAAAAGACTTAAAAAAGTTTGCTTCTAGAAGGGAAGGGAAGGGAAGATTACACGGCCAGTTTTGCGAGAATAGATCTTAATAAAAATAAAATATAGCATTCATTTTTTCAAATGTTTTCCTGGGTATATAACAAATTAGCTAAATGGTACCAACCATAATAACAAAAGCACAAATATTTTGTTTTCCATTAACCTTAAGAAGAAACCCTTAAAATAAAATTTACCATAAACGGAAGTACGTACGTCCTTAACAATATTCTGACATACAAATAAAAAGCCAGCCATCATATACGTACTTATATACATGGACCTAGCTTGGTGGTTGCTTCTCTATCCACCCATCTTGGTTTAGGAAGTGATTGACATGTATCAACTTTCTCAATTCTTGAATTGGCAATTGCTTCTCCCACTTCACTCGTGCGGACGTGTGTGCGCCAGCTCCATAACACTTAGCCTCCGCAAAAGTGAGTAAACCTCTGCAAAGTCATATATATGCGATTAATAATTCCTTGATAAAGCGTAGATAAATAGAACAAACAAAAATCACGAACAAATGACCCCAAGACCTTCAACCGTGGCACATTAATAGACTCCACTCATGAATGAGCCTATGCAAGCAAAATTAAATTGTGTTTAAAATAAATAAGAGCCCGTTTAGTTCGTTGATTCGAGTTTTTAATTCGAGTTGAGATGTAACTTTGTGTAAGACCTTTTTACTGTAGCAAAAAAGTTAGATGTGACTGTTTCTGAGAACTTTTTACTGTAGCAAAACTCAAATTTTAAACTTGAATCGGCGAAATGAACAATACCTAAAAAATTAAAATGTTTCGCTATCACTAATACTAAACACCACAATTAGTAGAAGATAAGCTCTACTTGTGAGCCCTATATACTGCGAGACCCGCATTCTACGAATAGATGGTGCTTATTAGTACCCTGTAGCATTAATAGGAGAATTAAGGTAAGAATCTTACTCATGACCAACATTAAACCATGCATCCCAACCCAGAGGGGCAATGATATTATCCATATGTGTATTGTAATAAACGACTCTAGAATGGTTTCTGTATGCCCTGCCTAGAAAAGCAGGTCCTGTCCCAATAATAGCGCTTGAATGGAACACAAAACCAGTACTCTCGCTCTCGCTTTCTCGGCCTTGTGCTGTGATATAAGCAGTTCCGCCCTGGCCCAGCACTGAGGCTGTCACCTTTATATAGCATGCCTGTATATAATACACGATATTGATTTCTATATGTTTTGTGGTTTTATCAAGCCTATATTAAGCGTGTGGACCCTAATTTGTTACTCCGATCCATAGTCAACATACGACTTCTACACATCATAGTAATGAAATTCAGCAGTAGTTGAAGGTGGATGCAGTCCACAAAAGTAGTAAACCACTTTAAATCTAGTATGTTCTTGTTCGTTTCTTTTTAAAAAAAAAAATATATTATTACCAAAATTCTGAACAGCTTATACTAACGAATACGTGTAGTAGTCTCATGGAAATTCCTATTTGCCATAGTGCATAGTTTTTTTTCTAAACGACTCTAACCATACCCTAATCAATTATTATGTAAATTTAATAGGATTTGATAGAATTCAAGCAAAAAAAAAAAAAAGGATTTGATAGAAATTTAACAGTTTAGATTTTTTTTTCTTTTATAATAAGAATAAGGCATACCTGAAAAAATGACTGGCCATTGCCCCAGATGAAGTCGACGGCACCTTCAATGTAGCAGGAACGGAAATAGTGACGGCCTCGGGCGTCAAACAAGGTGTCTTGCAGGCTAATGAAGCCACAGCTATAAAAACTCACTTTGTCTGCAGCAATTATTGCCGCCGGTGCCCATGTCATATTATGATTCCCCTCGTCTCTTGTAATAGCATGGTTATAGGTATTCTGCAACAAAATTTACAAAATAATAATAACAATAATAATTAAACACATCAAAATATGTGTATACACACACATATGTATGCGTGTCCATGCATATGTATTTTATTATATATATATATATATATGTATATTTTTGGAAGAAAACACATAGAAAGAAAGTGAAAAGAGAGCTCCCAGATAATGGTTGCTAGAAAAAAAGTGAAATTTATTACGAGTTATATCATCATTTTTCAATTAATTAAAAACTAACATATAAAACTGTATATATGTCCTCTGACATAATTTAAACGTCCTCAAATTGACATGTAAATATGTGATTGACATTATATGGTTGGATTTCTTTTTATTATAGATTCTATCTAATTTTAGATACTTTCAGTCTACCTAAAAAATAAATAAAGAAAAAGGAGTTTGACAATAATCAGTAGTGGAATAAAGTATAATTATTTCCGTACTTATTGGGCGCACTTAGTAAAGATTTATATCCGATGCTGAAAATCAAAACAAGAGTATACTCCGACCTTTATGCATGATTAATAGGACAGCTCAAAGCAATCTACTATCTATGGTTCTTTTTTTCTCTATAGAAAATCTAATATTTATTGGCAAATAGTACTCCAAGTGCCTTAATACTCTATCTAGGCCATTCAGTGGTGCGATAAACAATGTTTAAAACGATTTGATACAATGTGGATTGAAACTCCACATCAAATCTTATCTTAATGTTCCGTATCGTTTGACTTATGCCTCGTTCACTTCGCGGATTCGAGTTTTCAATTCGAACTAAGATGTGACATTTTCTTAGAGTTTTTCACTGTAACAGAAAAAGTTAGATATGACATTTTCTGAGAGCTTTTTACTGTAGAAACCTAAAACTGAAAAGTCAAATTGGTGAAATGAACGAGGCCTTAGTGATCAGTTTTCAAGGGCTCGTTCACTTCGCTGATTCGAGTTTGTAATTCGAGTTGAGATGTGATTTTATATGAGAATTTTTTACTGTAGCAAAAAAGTTATATGTGACTGTTTCTGAGAATTTTTTACTGTAGCAAAACTCAAATTCTAAACTCGAATTGGTGAAGTGAATGGGGCCTAGTGTACAAAAATATTATGAATTTGAACTAATTGAGTTTTGTCAATTAAGCTGTTGTAAACCTTGAAGGTTATGTTGCGTGCAACGAAATTATCTGCTAACATGGTAAATGCAGCGCTCTCAGTTACACTCCCACCGGCTTCCCAAGAAATCACAGTTGTACGGCTACTCTCTCCTTCCAGAACGATGAACTGCTTGCCTTGTTGGATCGACACCTGCTCACTGTACATGTACAGACATATACATAATACATAAATGATACATACATATAAAATGACCATATACAAGTTAATTTTAGAGTGTTTGGTTTTTGTTATTTTTTATAAGACACTAAGAAACCACAAAGCCTTTAGAAAAGGAAATATCATTACTCATACGTGAATCGACTAAATGATTAAGGAAATATCATAACTCATACGTGAATCGACTAAATGATTAAGGAAATATCATAACTCATACGTGAATCGACTAAATGATTAAGGAAATATCATAACTCATACGTGAATCGACTAAATGATTAAGGAAATATCATAACTCATACGTGAATTGACTAAATGATTCTATCCAGATAATTGATTAATGGAAGGGAACCGTGAATATCTCCAATGCAATGTTATAATTGATATGTCAATTGTAAATTTAGTATTTGAACGTAAAAAACACTTCCGAATGCAATGTTACTTGTTGTGTCAGATTTCTAATATGCTATATTTTGTGGCAAATTTCTCACTAAGTATAGCATACGAGAAATTTAACATTTTATTGTTATTGGTTGAAATGTTTACCTCTTCACGTAATCATTGTAACTTTTATATTTTTTAATTATTTTAAAAATAAAAGTTTACTTTCATAACTTTCAAATTTTAATAATTATAAAAAAAATTTATATAACATTTCAAATAGCATTATGCATTAAAATAAAAATAAAAATAACATACCCTATCACACTTTTTAATACTAAATATAAAATTGACATTATCACAATTTGCATCGGAGATGGTCTTAATGTTGCATTTTATATAACACTACTTACTTGTAGATACCGGTTTTAACGTGGATGAGAATCCATAACTGGTTGTTGTCTGGCACGGAATCAATGGCTTGTTGCACCGTGGTGAAAGTCCCATGGCCAGATTTATCAACTATGATGGTCTTCGAAACGACATTTTGAAGGTTGTCGTATTTTATTGCATTGTTGATATTGCGGCGAGAATAAGCCGGAGGTGCAGTACCCAGTATGAGAATGAGAGTACAAATAATGGTGGAGTACTGGAGCGTAATAAACTGAAGAAATTTCATTCTGAAAAACTTGGTTAGAAGAAAGAAGAGGGCAAGAAAAAATTATGTATAATTGATATATATTGCAACACAATAGCTGTTAGTAATAACCACCTAATATATATGTGTGTGTATATGGCATGGCCACATATAGCAAAGAAATTTTTATATTTCTTGTATTTAAAGAGATGATCAAATCATAATATATTTTCATAGAGCTCGTTCTGGAAGAAAAGGGAGAAATAGTTTAGAATATGGAAATGATGATCAGGAAGATCTTCCAACGTTAATGTTTTTATGGCAATATTGCTGCAATGGAAATATTATGAGGTTGTCACATACAAAAATTCTACAGGGCGTTGGAAATTCTCTTTAAGGACATTTACATTTAAAATGGTCCCCGTACTTTAAATTTATTTTGGTCCTATATTTTCAAAACATTTAAGTATTGACCTAAAATTTATTTGTGAGATAAAATCAGTCCTTCTATTTCATGTGCATTAAAATATGAATGAAATAGATTGTCTTTGGTATGGGGTAATCTCGATATGGAAATGTGATTTTCACATTCTTAAGGTAATGGGACTCATTTTAAAATAATGTTAATATTACCTAAAATTATTTTCTTTCCTGGAAATCTTACCATTGGGAAACTAATTAAAAATAAAAAACCCAATAGACACTGACACAACCCTCCACTTCCCCCAACGATTACTCAACCGTCGCAACCCCATCACCGCCGATCAGACATGCCGTCTCAGCCCCACCACCACCGCCATAGCCCTGCCGTCGAAGTCCCACCGCCGCCGACGCCACAGACCCTTCGTCGTAGCCTTCCCTCTCCTGGCAGCCTCCACCTCCACCATCATCGCTGCCCCACCCATGACGCCGTGCAAACAACCCCGTCCAGCCACGATCTGAGAAGTCACCCGCCAGCCGGACCCCGTACTCGGCCGCCAGTCGCAGCCCATCTGCAAAGCCCCTATCTAGTAGAATCAACAACAACGAAGCTTAAATCAACAGGCAAAGGGTTCTAGAGATTCAGCAAGTTTTTCAAAAGGAGGAAAAATAGCCCAACGCAAAACGTTAATGGGTGATGAGAAGAGAGAGATGTAGCTTGTTGATTTTGAGTGTTTCTACTTTTTAGGTTGAGATGTCTGTGTGTGTAGTTTCGAAGGGCAGTGGTGGTGATTTGTTTGGGTCGGTGGTGTTGAGATCCAGCCGTTTCAGATTATTATTATTTTTTTTTTTTCAGATTTTTCATTTACAAATTTTGTTCAATATTTGAAAAACAAATTAGGATAACACGATGATAATTATCCAATCTAAAGATTAAATTAATTTAAAATACTAAAAACTATTGATTTTGTAGAAAATAATATTAAATTACTATACACTACTAAACACAATAAAAATTATATTCTTAGAAAACTAATGTTGTGTTTGAAATTGTTCTTATTTTTGTTGTTCACGTTTTTTGAGAAAAAAAATAAAAACGATTTCAAAACGACATTTGGCACAATTAAAGACAAAAAATAAAAATGAAAATGATTTTTTGGTTTAGTGTAAAATGAAAGAAAAACTAAAAATGACTTTTAATCATTTTTTATTTTTTGTTTTCATTTTCTCCTCTCTCGAGCAGAGAGAGAGACATTAATGGTTTTTTATATTGAAAATAATCTCTTGATAAAACTACTAAACGCATTTTTAAAAATGATTTCTGTCTCAGATTGAGAACGTTTTCATTTTCATTTTAAAACGAGTTCCAAACGCACCCTAAGGGCTTGTTCATTTGCACCCAAACCCAAAAAAAATGTAAACTCAAGTTACAATTTTATTCAAGTTCGTGTTCTTTTATAAAATTTAAGTTATAATTTTATTATATTAATAATAATATAA